AAAAAAAAAAAAAAAAAAAAAAAAGAAAAATTATTTGAGAGCAAAGAAACTGATTTTTTAAGGTCATAAGAAAGTGACTAGGAAGTGACTCAAGAAAAGAAGAAGGAAAAGACGATTTTGAAGGGAAATTTTTTTTTTTCAGTCGAGAGTTTTCTTTCAAATTGCTCAGAAAGAGGTGATCAGTTCGGAAGAATACTGCAAGTGGTTTTGGCAGATTCAGAAATCATTGAAGCAGCAGCTATAACAGCAACCATAAGGGCACGATGTGAAGTCGATGTAGCGAAAGGCTGCTGCATTGTTGCTGGTGTTAAGAATAAGGAGGACAGAAAGAAATAAGCTGAATTACCACTAAAGACTTCGGAATTTAGCAATTTCTTTTTTTACAATTATTTTTTTTTTTTTATACCGAAGTTCTTGAAAATATTTGGGGCAGCCTCTGTATTCATCTTATTCATTTTAAAATAAGATTTTCTTTTTGGTTTACTCTTTTTTCGTTTTCTCTTTCTGAATTTAAAAATACAATTTTTTTTTTGTTGTTGTATTTGCTGTTTGCTTTTGCTGCTACTGCGAAGTATAATTATTAGAAAGACCATTTTTTTTAATGTTTTTTTTTTTTTTTTATAATATACACGGGAACAATTAGGTGGAGAAGAGGACAAATAGCTTTGATAGATGGGATACCAACACAGGCGGACACAAATACATTAAAATCTATTGAGCATCTTTTGAATTTATTTATCAGATCTGTATGAGTGTAAAAATAAAGTAATGTCAAGCAATAAAAAGAAGATGAACAATTTTTAATGCTTTATATGTCCTTTATATATCGACAAAAATTGAGAAGAAAAATTAGGTGAGAATTGTTTCTTCAAATTTTGTTCCATAATATCTTTAATTTGTAATTTTTTCGGCATTAATCAAATTGGTCGGATTTTTTGTTTCCCTTTTTTTCCCCCTTCACGGTTCTTCACCCATTCCTTACGGATTCACCTTCACGTTACGCATTATGACGCAAAAAAAAAAAAAACATACCACATACCACTGACACCAAATATGCTCAGCTACTTAGTCAGTTGGTTCTTGTTTTTCGGCATCCACTTTTGTTCTAAATGGAGCACCATTACCATCTATCCGTTTTCTCTTTAATTTCTTTCATCTTTCAACATACATATAACTTTTTTAATATTCTTCCCCTTCACTTTCATTCTTTCGCTTCATTTCATCAGATCTCATATATATAAATATAAATACAAATAAATATATATATTTATTATATATATCATACATATGTATATTGTAAATATACTACACATGCGTACTTACACTTCTGAACAAGAAAATAATACACATATATATATATAGAAAAAAACGAAAAAAGAATGGAGGCACTTATAGCAGCTATCGTCCAAGGTCACTAAATTAAGTCTAAAGTTTGCCATAAAGATGACGAATCAGCAGATAAAGTGGGTAGCAAAGTAATGTTAATTAATTCATTATCGTAACTACTGGTTTTGATTAGTCTCTTTAAAATTATGGATTTTGAAAGAGAAGAAAAAAAAAGGGGAAAAAATTGAATTGAATCGTTTGAATGCGCCCAAGTAACATGTTGCAAAATTTTTTTTTTTTTTTGCTTTGCATACACTTATTGCATTTTTCGCTTATATATTTCTTCTTCAATTTTTTGTTTCTTTTTTACTTTACAATTTCTGCTTTCAAAGAATAGATGTATATTTATTTATTTATTGAATTTTGCAGATGACTAGTTTGATGGAAAACAAAAGAAAGTTTAGAATAAGTGGTGTTTCGATAATACATTGTAGTGTTTTTGTTGTGTTAATTCCGCTACTGTTTTTTAAAAGTATTCGATACTGAT